TGTATTTGATGTATCATAAAATGGATCAGTTTTATATTCCCTTTGAGAAAAAAAATGCATGCATTAGAATTTCAAATTGAAAAATTGTAACAGAGGATTATTTTATTGTTAAACACAATCAAATAAAGAGAGTAAAATTAAAATTACATATACATACTTGTTAGTAAAATTTTTATTATATTCTGCATATGACTGACTTGCTAGCGACTTGTCATACAATTTTCTTTTTTGCGTATTTCCCAATATAGAATAAGCTTCATTAATAACGATGAATTTTTTTTTAGCATCCGAATTTTTATTTTTATCAGGATGATATTGTTTAGATAATTTTATAAAAGCATCTTTAATCGCTTTTGAACTGCAATTTTTTTCCAAATTGAGATCATCGTAATAAGTTTTTTTCATTTGAATTTTTTTTCTTCTTTCTTTCTTTTTTTTTTTTTTAATTTTTTTTTCTTGTTATAAATTTATTGAAAGTAAAAAGCAAAGGAAAAAAAAAAATTCCTTTTTTAAATTTGCTGAAATAATAAAAAAAAAAGATTAACAACGTCAATATTGTAGTCCTAAAAATAAAATTTAAAATTTCTATCGAAACGATTTATAAAGTCAAATCATTCTTCATCTAAATTTAAATAATTTGATATAAGTTAAATGTAAAATCAAAAACGAACCAAAAATAAAACAAAAATTTTTATATATCATAAACGTAATTTCATTTTAATGAAACCGGGTTTGTTTTAGTTTTTAAAACTAGACTAAAAAATTTTTTATTTACTCTATGACTTTGATATTTTGCCGACATTAAAACCCGCCAAATTTTTACCCCTTTTTCTATCTCTCTTTTTTTTGTTGTTTGTTTTAATTTGATTTTACTTTGCTTCAATACATTTATTTATTTTAATTATAATAAATAAATAAAAACTTTAATAAGATTCGCGCAAAACATAAAGTTAACGACATTATTAACGTTTAAACGTATATTTTTTTTATCTGCATAACATTTCATTGTATTCTTTTGGTATTAACAACAATTTACTCATCATCAATGGAAAATCATCATAAAACTTGTACTATTTTATCTAATAGTGATTATTTTTCATTTGTTTAGGATCCTATACGACAAAAATCATTAGCCACACAGTGTACCACATATTTAGGCTTTTCTATGATGAATGTAAGAAATTGGTTACATAAACTACAGGTTGAAAATTCTTATTAAAAGGGGATACAATATCTTTCCTATCGACAAAACTCACTTTAATAATAACTGCACTAATACTAATACTAATGATGATGATGATGATGATGATGATGATGATGGTGATTGTGGTGATAAAAACTATGAAGTAGCAAACAGGTAAATGAAAATCAAAGTTGGAAAAAAAAACTTATTTCGATAAACTGAAGCTTATGTTACAGTTCGAACTGAATGAATGAAACAAACACGATTACAAACATTATCAGATTTTTTAGTCTGATGATAAGATTTGAGGATACTTTCATTGGAATAAAAGGATCACAGAGTCACATTTCAAGTTCAGCCACAGATCACCCTGTCACATTTTAAGTTCAGCCACAGATCACCCAGTCGCATTTTAAGTTCAGCCACACATCACCCAGTCGCATTTTAAGTTCAGGCACACATCACCCAGCCACATTTCAGTTCAAAACATCAGTTCATGTCCAGAAGAAGAATGTCACAATTACACTGACAGAATTGTACCAGCCAACAAATCGAATACCATCCTGAGAAGCAAAATATTAGTACAACCTGTATTCGAACATTTATTCATAAGAAAACAGATTAAAAACCTAAAACGAATGTTATTGGAAAACTCCATATCAAGCACACAAAACCTAACTCTTCCTCTCCAAGTGATAATAATAATAATAATCATTATAACAAACCATTTTCAATTATTATTTATTAAATATTTTAAATAGAAAAAAAAAAAAAAAAAAAATTTAAGTATTTTTTCATTTTAATTATTTATTTATTTATTTAATTATTATTATTTTTACGTAAGTTTTCCCTCTTTATCTATCAAACGAATTATACAACATACATAATAAAACTTTGTGTAAAAAAAAAAAAAATTGAAATTGACAACACAATTTTAAAAAAAAAAAAGAAAAAATTAATTAATTATTTATATATATATATATATATATATATATTTATATTTATATTATATTAAATTTCTTTTTTTTTTTTTTTTTTTAAAATTTTTTTTTATTTTTTTGATTTTCTTTTTTTTTACTTTTTTTAATAATTATTTTAGACATTTTTCTTCATATTTTAATTTTTAATTTATTTACAACAAGTAGATATTAATAAAAAAAAAAAAAAAATTATGATAATAATAATAAAAAAAATTGTTTTTTTTTTGTGTTTATCAGAAAAATAAAATTACAAACGCATTTTAAAAAAAAAAAAAATAATAATAATAATAAAGAAAGAAGAAAAAAAGAAAATAAGAAAATAAAAATACATATTTATGTATACATACATATATATATATATATATATATATATATATATATATATATATATATATATATATATATATATATATATATATATAAAATCATATAAGCCAATTTCAATTTTTTTTTTTTTTTTTTCAAAATTTTATTAACTTATTATTATTATTTCTATACAATTTATTATTATTATTATTTATTATATAAACATATAAATCAAATAAATCATTTTTTTTTTTTTTAAATTCAATTAAATTAATATTATTATTTCTATACAATTTATTATTATTATTATTTATTATATAAACATATAAATCAAATAAATCATTTTTTTTTTTTTTAAATTCAATTAAATCCAAATATATATAATTTTTTTTCTTTCTCAATTAATAATAATAATAATAATAATAATAATAATAATAATAATAATAATAGTGAAAACTTACAATTTACTTTTCAATATAAAAAAAAACATTTTTTTTTCTTTAATTATTAATTTTTGTGAGCTTTAAAAAACAAGAACAGTATAAGAAGAAGAAGAAGAAGAAAAATAAAAACTAATTATTATTATTATTATCATTATCATTATTATTAATATTTACAAAAAAAAAAAATAATAAAAATAAAAAGAAAATTTCTTTATTTTCTCTAATCCTTTCCTTCCTTTCTTACTTACATACAAAAAAAAAAAAATCAAATTTGTATCATTTTTACTTTTTTTTTTTTCTTTTTTCAATTAGATTTTAAATTAAATGATTATTATTATCATTCTCATCATCATTATTATTATTATTATTCTTTTTTTACTTAAAGAAATAAAACAACAAAATATTTCACACTACTCGACGTACAGATCAGACATTTGTTCGTTCGTTCAATCAATCAATCATTCATTCGATCACTCACTCGAATATAAAAAAGAAATCATTTACAGACGTATGAAAAGAATAAAAAAAAAAAAAAAATTCCTTTCGTTTCGTTTTAATGGCGGCAGCAAAACGACGGTTTGAAAAGGAGATAATAATGATAATATTTAAACATTATTTTAACATCATGAAGAATATCTTATTAAATTTACCCCCCTCCCCAAAAAAAATGATAATAATAATAAAAATAGTATCGAACAATCGATTCGAATCATTTTTCGACTTACACAAATCAATAAAAACCAATTAAATTGAAATAATAATCAAGTTTTCATGATGGCAAAAAAAAACTTACCACAACGCCATTTTTTTAAGAGAATTACTATTTTTTAATAGAACGCGTATCGACAAATATCCGAACTGTAAAAAACTAAAATAAAAACTTAACGAATTATTTTTAACGATTATAATTATCAATCACTATTGAAACAATTTTAAAACTGAAAAAAAAAAAAAGAAAAAAAAAAACCAAAAAACTTTTTCTTTTCAAACGAATCGATGAAACGAAAAACACCAACTGACCACGAGAAAAAAAACCGTTAAAATAAAAATCGCGACATCTGGTTGACGATATTCGAAACTATTTTTATTATTTAAAATTTAAAATCAAAATGGCGGTCATATAAAAATACCAAACAACTATTAACTATTAGGTAAAACATTTGTTTCTTTTTTCACACTTTTTCTCATACTTTTTCTTTACATTAAATTATTTTACATTTAAAAAAAAAGACGAAATAATCCAAAAATTATTATCAAAACCGTCGTAACGTCGCCATTTTTTGTTTTGTTATTATTACATTCATACGCCTTTTAACTAATAAATAAATCAAATGAAAAATAATGATAATAATAATAATAATAATAATAATTTCTAATAGACATGATAATTACATTATTAGAATTATGATTGATTAAATTTTCTTTTTTAATTTTTTTTTCTCCTTTTTTTAATATTTTGTACAGTAAAAAAAATAAGTTATATGATTCTTCGTTTTTTTTTTTCTCTCCTTAATTAATAATTATTATTATTTTTTTTTATTTTACATTAAAGTATTCATAAAAAATTAACACATTCGACATTTTTTTCTCTATTTTTTGAATTTTTGGAGGTTTACATTTACATTACCAAGTAAAAAAAAAAAAAAATAATAATAATAATAATAATAAAAATAAAAAAATAAAAAATCATATTCTTTAACCGTTTTCATCTCCGAAACGTCACACCCCCCCTCACCCCCATCTATCGACAATTACACAAACTATATAAAAAATAAATAAATAAAATGAGTGCAGGGAAAAAATGGAAGGGAAAAAATTTTTTCCCTCACTTTTTTTTCCCTGCACGATTTTGTTTTTGTTTTTACAAAAGTTTCCCTTCATCAATATTCTTTCCTCCTTTTAATTTTCTTTTTTTTAAACTTTTCTTATTTTATTTTTATAATTATTATTATTATCATCATCATTATTTTTTTTTTGTTTTATCTACTTAATTTTCATTGTCCGTGACAAAAATTCACCGAAAAAAAAAAAAAAAAAACAAAAAAAAAAAAAGAAATATTTACAAAATTATTATCATAATTAAATACAAAATAATTAAATGTTTTTGTTTTTTTTTGTGTTTTTATCATCATTATCACTATTAAAAATTACGTTTTTAACTTATTTGTATAGTATTTGTATCATTTGCACATTGTTTTTCTTTTCAAATTTTACTTTTGTACAATTGTACACACGACACGAAATTTAAATTTTTTTTTTTCTTTGCTTATTATTATTATTATTTTTTCAAAAAGTAAATTTTTTTTTTATATAAACATAATATTATTTATATATATACACAAAGTCTTTTTTTCTTTTTTGTTTTACTTTCTTTCACTTATTTTATTTCACCATTTTTATATAAATATTTATTCGTTTATCATTATCATTTCCTTTCACTGTGTATGATAACCCATTTGTTAACTTAATTATTATTATTATTATTCGCGAATAACGAGGGGTTTATATCAAGACAATGACATATGAAAACAAATAAAAAAAAAAGAAAAGAAAATTCTAGATGTTATGGAAAGAGAAAAGAGAGAGAGAGAACAATTCGAGAGGTTGCTTTTTAATTAAAAAAACAAAACGAATAATATGGCAAGTGAGAGAGAGAGAAAAAAACAACCGTTTCCGGTAAATCGAGATCCTCTGTATGACGTACTTATTGAATGACGTCACTCATTCATTCTTTCTTAAAACAATTTCAAATAAAATTATTAAAAATTAAACATTTAAAAAAAAAAGGAAAAAGGAAGAAAGTTTTTAATTTCCGTTTCCGCTATTTTTTCCTCCTCCTCCTTTTTAAAAACTAACATTTAAAAATAATAATATTAATAATAATAATATTAAAAAACTTTTTTTTTTTTAAATTAAAAACTTAATTTTCTATTTTATTTATTTTAAGTATACATTATTATTAATTTTAATTTTTTTTTTTTTTTCATTTTCATTTTCCTTTCTTTTTCTTTTTGTTTCCATCAAGAAAGGAATAATCGTACAAAACTTTTATATTACTACTGTGTGTGTGTGTGTATGTGCGCGTACGCGAATGAATTCATGAAATGAAGGGGAGAGAGAGAGAGAGAGAAAGAGAAAAAACGAAATACCACGCCTGATGAATGATAACTTGACTTTAAAAAAAAATAATAATAATAATAAATAAAGAGAGAGAGAGAGAAAGAGAGAGAATAATTACATCAAAGCAACCTCTTCGTTTGTTCATTTTTTTTTTTTTTTTTTTTTTTTTTTTAATGTACGAAAATACTGAAATTTTTTTTTTCTTAAACTGACGGAAAAAAAAAAAATGTTTCGTTACTGAATGTCCAACACAAAAAAAAAAGAGAGAGAGAGAGAGAGAGAGAGAGAAATCATTGAAAGCTATAAACTATTGTCTGAATTTTTTATTTTTCCTTTCTTTCCGTTTGTCTTCGTGTGAAACGTGGGGCGGCAAAGGCGGCAAAAAAAAATATGGAGAATTGAACGAACAAGGATTGGGAGGATTGCTCGAACCAACGGGATATATGGCGCTTTGGGGCAACGTTTGCGTGGGCGGATGATATAAACTCCTCTTTCCGATCGGATCCATTATGAAATCCGACGTTTCCGTCGAATACGACGGATACGGACAATTGGGTGGCGGCGGCGGCGGCGGCATCAAATCCTCCGCGTCCATTTTGATGGGTTTCGGCTCGTCGTCGGCTATGAGCAAACCGAATTCGCGTCTCAATCGCTCCGTTAAATTCTCCCTCTGACGCTCCAATTCCGTGGGCTCGGATTTGAAACGGACTCCGGACCCGGGTTTCTCCAAGCTCTTGTCCATTTCGAAAAAAACGGGGGGAAGTATGGGAGTCGGAAGCGACGACAAACGAGATCTGTCTTCGTCGTTTGGAGAACTCGCGAGAGGCGACATGACTTCTTGCGGACTCGCGTTTGCACCGCCGCAACTTTCTTCCGGCAATGGATTCGACGACGAAGACGACGAAGATGACGACGACGACGATTTCCCACCTTGAGCTCCGCATTTTTTTCTATTCAGGTACTCCGTTACGGACAACTGCGAACAAATAGAAAGGAAAAACAAATCAGAAAAATGAATCTTTTCTCTTTCTTTCTCTCCTTCTGAGTGAAAGAGAAAGAGAGAGAGAGAGAGAGAAAACAACAACAACAAAAATAATTTTTTCTCGTACCTTTCTTTTGATTGGAGCACTCTTATCGGACATTGACGAATATTGCTCCAAATCTTCCGCTTTTGAATCTCCTTGAGACTCTTCTAAATTATCAGGCACCATAATGTCGTTCTTGTAATGTTTATCATCGTAAAAGGAATTCTCCATTTTAGAATTAAAATTTACATTATTATCATCGTCCGTCGTGAACCTCATCTTGTTTTCGACTTTAACGTTTTCGAAACCGTTTTGTACTATTTTCACATCCGTCGGTCCTCCGCCCTCCGTTTTGACGCTTTCCAATTTTCCTTCTTCTCCTCCTCCTCCTTCTCTCACTCCTCCTCCACTACCTCCTCCAGCTCCTCCTTCATCACCACCTCCTTCCTCCTCTTCTTCTCCACCACCTCCTTTGACTCCTCCTTCGTTTTCATCTTTTTTTTCCTTTTTGAAAGACCCGAATCCGTCTAGTTTTTCCAAAATCGATTCCGTCGATTCTTCTTCTTTATCATCGCATGTCCTATCATTTAAACTTTCCGTTTTAATCACTATCGAATTATTGGTAAAAGGAACGGTCGATTCGGTTTTGATATCGGATTTTGAATCCCGCGCGTTGTCCACAACATCGATTTCCGGTTCCTTAGTCTCCGACAAGGGGATTTTTTCACTTTTGCAATACACGGAATTGTTTCTCAATCTCGGATCTAAATTTTTCACCGTCACCGAAACGTTGGGTTCCGTTTTTTGAGACGATCGCGAGTCTTTCGACGACGACGACGACGACGACGAATCGTTCTTTTTAAGACCGTCGGAAACACCATTTTCCACGCACTCCTCCTCCTCACGCACTTCCTTACTCTCTTTACCCTTTTCCGATTCCTTGACATCGATGCCGTTTTCACTTTTACGACATTTTAAACTTTTTCGAAACCTCGGAGAAGTCCGAACTTCGTTTTCTCCTTTTTTATTTCCGACCCTTCGACCTCTTCCCCTTTTTTGTAGTTTTGGACTAGATTCCACTTTTTGATTTTCAACATCTACGTCGCTTCCCTCCTTTTCCTTCTCCCCCGTCAAATCCAACGGTTTTTCAGCGTTAGCGTTCGGAGTCGACTTTTCCGGCGGAGGTTTTTCATCTTGAAACTTGTAACTGAGGTTTTCCGGCACGCTCTGAGGTGACGTTTGAAAATTATTAAACCTTTCGAATTCTTCGCTGTCTCTTTCCGATCTCGTTGTGCACTCGTTCTCGTATCGTCCGTACGTTTTTAACAAATTCCTTTCTTGAGCTTCGAGGTATTCTCGACGGAGTGCGTCGACTCTTTCGGCCAGAGAAATTTCCGATTCGGTATCGATTATCGTGGGCGATTCCGGACTATTGATGTCTCTCGCTTGAATTAAAAAAAAAAACATTTTACAATTTATTCCCGAATCCCTCCGGGGGGAGATGTGAAAATTTTCAAAAAGACAACATATATCTTACCATACAAACGATCTTCCTTTGTTTGAGTTGTCGACGGAGGCATGGGAGGAGTCGTAGGAGGATCAGACGACAAGGATTCTCTCGCTAAACGACGTTTTTTCAACGGCGTCACGTTGTCTGGCGGACACGGAGGAGAACCTAGAAAATGAAGCAACAAACGTAAAAAAATTTTTATTAATCAAAATGAAAAAACTTTAGGTACTGAGGAAAAAAAAGTCGCAATCGATCACCCGCTCCCCGTCCCCACCTTGGCCTTGCGGTCCATCGCATTCTTCAGATATCGCCTGACGAAGCCATCTCTTCTTTCCGAAACCCGCCGGCGTTCCAGAGGGAATTCTTCCATCCAGAATCATTCTTGAATCTTTTACCGGGTCCTTGAGTTCTAAAGATTTTGAATCGATCGGAAAATTGAACAAACGATTTGATAAATTGGATAATTTCGGAGCTCCGGGCGGAAGAGAGGATTCCGATTGTACGCTTAACTGAACGTTTTCCGGTGTCGGCGAAAAATCGGGAGCAGGATGTTCCGGTGATTTATTCAACCACTCGTTCATTAGGCCCTGGAAAAAAGTACAATCGACGGTTATTTACGTGTTATTTTTTTCATTCACCCTCTTTCTCTCTCTCTCTCTCTCTCTGCGACGGAAAATTTTAAAAAACGGTTTTTCTCACCTTTTTAGTTTTGGGAAATCTAAAACCGGGAGCGAGAGGACCGACAGCTGCTGCTACTAAAAGACAAGCAGACGATAACGGAGTGGGAGGAGATCCTTCGTTTTCACTTTCTTTTTCTCTCGTGGGTGTTTTCTGACCGGGAAGATATCGTCCGCCGAGTGCTAAGAGTAAACCCGCGGCATCGTGTCTCTTTTCCTTTTCCCGACTACTCGAATCCCTACGATTTCGATCACCTCTCGGACTGGACATTTTATCTATAGGACTCAGTAATTCATCATCCCTGTAAGAGATATAACCAATGAATGGGGTAATGCGTGTCGTTCCAATTTTTCGAACAAGAGAAAACACGTAAAAAGGAAAATACCTGGAATCCTTTGACGATCCTTTTCTAGGACTGGGAAGTTCATCCCCAGATGATAAATCACTATCCCCTGAGTTGAATTGATTGAGTGTAGTTGAGCTTGCCGTGGATGAGAGTCGAACTTTTCTGCTGTAAATATATTTTTATAATAAAATTATTAACAAATGGAGCAATAAAACTAAAATCTTACATATTTGACAAACCTTCTCCTCCTTCGTCTCCGCCTTCTCCTTTTCGATTTCGATTCAACCGGCGATTCCTTATCGGAATCCCCTTTGGAATTCATTTGCGAATCTTTTCTACTTCCCGTCACCGATATTTGAGGCCTATCCTTATCCTTTTTCCTCGCCGTGTCTCTTTCCATTTGAGCAAATATTTTCATGGCTTGCTCGATTTTCCTTTCGTCTCTCGTCTACGACAAAACAAACAAACACATCATCACATTACCCCCTCCCCGTCGGGAAAAATCTAATGATAATAATAACGATCATTTTTTTTTTTCATACCAATTTCCTATCTTTTTCTTTGTCGCTACGGGATTCCTGTTGAACTGGACTACTCGGACTTCTGCTACTCTGAGTAATCGAAGAATTCCTTCTCGCGGGTTCGACGACGACGGCGGCGGCGGTTTTATTTTCTTTTTTATTCTTTATCGGAGATCCTTCACTTTCTTCCGACACCGTTCTTCTTCGACCTCTTTTCCTCCTTCTAAAAAAACAAAAAAAGTAAAGTGAATAAAGTCCTTTCATTATCCATGCGGGATTCAACAAAAAAAAAAAAAAAACTCACTCGGTTGCCGAATTTTGTGAATTTTTTGGTAAAAAAAATGAACAATCCTTATTTTTACACAAGCACCCCTCCTTTTGAGTATACGAAGTATCGCTTATGCAATTGTGTGCTATTGTTATCTCTTGATTTTTACTCAAATCCTCCGAGGCTATCAAATACAATCGGAGAGAACCTTTCACGATGCAATGCTTCATCTGAAAACGTACACACATATATATATATCGTTGCAACACCTTCCGGTATAAAAAATGGCGATGATACAAATGTATAATACCGACCTCTGCATTCGGACGACACGACCGCCTGGCATATCTCGCTAAATTTTCGTGACCCGTCCCGTCGACGACGATTTGAGAACTATCTTTTGGAAAACGGTAAAAGAACAAACAATCCGATTTGCCGGGTTGTTCGTCCGACAGTAAAAATTTCCCTCTGATTTCGACGATCAATTGTCCCTTTGACAAATTGCACGACGTCACCAACGTCTGAAAACGAACAAAGTGATATGACGATAAAACTTTTCAAATTTTTCAAAATCGGAAAATTTTTTTAAAAAAAAAAAAAAAAAAAAAAAGGTTCGCTCGCTCACCGATTCTCCTCCCTGGGGCAAATGATTGATCCGACATCGAACCCGCGAACTTCCCTTCACTCCTAAATCTTTCAAATTTGTATTTTTAAGGATTTGTAGTCTCGTACGTAGATCGGGAGATTTTCCATTTCCTTCTTCGCCACCCTCGAATCTTTCGTTTCTCTCTTTCAAATGATAATTGTTGTTGTTGTTGTTGTTGTTGCTGCTTCCGTTACTGCTGCAGTCCTTGTCCGTTTTGATGACTTCCTTGTTTTTGCTCTGAATTCAAATTATACGTTTTTATTTTCAAACGAATCGAATAGGCGCATGGAAGTACATCAATACTCACTTTTCTTCGTACGGCTGCTCGAGGCAACCTAGACTCTAGTTTTCTTTTTAATTTCGTACGACGTCCGACGGATGAACTTTTCAAATTATTAGATTCTCTTTTCCTAGATTTACCAATTGAATTTTTAACTACCGAATCGTTGTGACCGGAATCTAATTTTCCCAATTTGACAGGTTTTCTCGGTATCGAATCGATTCGCCGTCTGTTGGCCGTTTTTTTCATGGGACCCGTTTCTTCTGCGGAAAAAGGAAAATTTATTTGGAATGGATATTATTTAAAGGTTGATAGTGGTTCAGATAAGAATTGATACTCACTTGATCTCGGAGCGATTTCCAAACTACTCGAACTCGAATCGCTCGAATCGGAATTATTGAATATTTGTTTTCTTCGTTGCAACTGAAGAGCTCTCGCTCTGTTTCTATCTAATTTTCTCGGATGGCAAACGTCGCAAAGGTACTCTTCTGGCAAGGGCGTACCGACTCGTACATCGGGAAAAACGCAAGCGACGTGTTGCCAAACGGAACACTTATCGCAGCAAACCATATATCCATCATCATGTTCCAAATCGCTGCATGTATATAATATATAAAATTAAATTTTAAACCTTAAAAAGAAAGAAAGAAAGAAAGAAAGAAAAACAAGAAGAAACTCACCAAATGCAACGTGTGATGCTGTCCTCTCCCTCTGCTGCCGTTTCCGTTTCTTCTCCGTCTTCTCCCTTCTCGTCGGAGGAAAGTATACTTTCTTTGTCATCTTCAACAGGTACAGGTTTTTCATCTCTCAAAAGTAACATGGGCATGCCGTAGCAATGATCCGTGAGAACCACTTGAAAAACGAGTGGAATCCTCAAATCGAACACCGGTCTGATTTCCACGCCTTCCTCTTCATCGTCATCCTCCTCATCGTCTTTTTTCACTTTCGTACCTTCAACGTCTATTTCTCCACCTTCTTCTTCCACTTCTTTTTTAACAAAATCTACAACACTAGAATTTTTCCCCGGCGGTTTATTTAGTATTTCCGAATTTTTGATTTCGTTTATCCTTTGGTGATTCGTCGGCCGGGACTCCACGCGGGGCTTATAGGAACTGTGATTTTGATTTTTGTCATTCCGTTGATTGTTAAAGTATGTGTTATGCGAATATTTGACCACGTTTTTTCCCGGGATTTTATTATTTTCACTTTGACCATATTTACGTCTCGAATTGTCTTGTATACCGGTTTTGGTCACGTGGTTTGAATAACCAGAATTTTCATTTTTGGAATAATTGTGCATTTGAAAATTTTGATCCGCTTGATGAACTTTCATTACGTTCGAGGGTTTCCCCTGTGGAACCGAATTAGTATTTTGCGTCGGCATCATTTTATTTATGCTCTCCGCCGCCAATTTTAAATTATCGACGTTCGGTATCAGGTATTGATGGGAGTGAGGAACGTTCGAATTGAGAACCGTGTTCACGGGCACTGCCGTTACGTTCGGACCGGCGGCAGAAGACGATGAATTATTCTCTTCTTGACCCGAAGCGTTCGTTTCTCCCTTTCCTTCAGATTCCGCATTTACATACCGGGTTTCGTTAGGCGAACTGCTAGCTAGCGTCGATGTAGTTGAACCAGCCAACGACTGAACGTTAGTAGTAGACAAAAATGTTACGTTGCCAGAGGACGATACAAACGAAATGCTTCCCGAAGTCGCCAGAGGAGGAATATTATTCGATTTCCCGGGAGAAACGGATGCCGGCGTTAAAGCTTTTGACGTAACCGTTGTCCTTTTCGTCGTTAACGACGAGCTCACGCTTGTCAGTGGCGGTACCGAATTTGCTATCGCCGTTTTTGTACTGATGCTACTGGTGCTGTTGCCGCTGCTGCTAATGTTGTTGCAAGATAATTTAGGAACTATCGATTGCGTCACCGCATTGTCCCTCGAATTGAAATATTTCCCACCGGATTTTCCATTGTCGCCGTCCGCGTATTCTAATTGAAACAACTGTGGAGATTGTTGGGATGATGGCAAAACTTGCGTCACGATTATATTCGTGTCCGTTTTATTGGGTTCCATCGCGATGAAAGTTGTCGTTTTATTGTTTTCGTTGTTTTTACCAGACGGGAGAGCAAGGTAAGTGGCATCCGTCGGCTTTTGAGTGACCGCGACAAACGTGCGACTGTTTTCCGTTTGCTTCGGAGTCATCAAATACGCCGTTTGAGGACCGGATGTGTGCTTCGTAGGAGTCATTGTGAAAAATGTGGTTCCATTTGTGTCTCCCGGTTTCGTCGTGACGGCGAGGTAACTGTTGAACTGTTTTAAATCAGCTCCGTTTCCGTGAACGAGATACGTTTGACCCGAGGATTGAACGTTCGTTTTTTGAGGAACTGTTACGAAATTCGTTTTGGGCGGCGTTTCCATAACTACAAAATTATTTTTTTGCTGTTGCTCCACTGCAATGAAATTTTGTTGATTGACAGGTAAGGACAAGTAGTTAACATAATTCGTCTGCGGTTTGTTTGTCAACATTGCAAAGTAATTTTGATTGGGTTCCGTGATTTTGGCCGTCGTCATCGTCACAATATTATCCGAAGATCCAACCTGTTTGAGTATGAATTGTTGCTCCGGTAACCTTTGAATCGGAATTTGATTGGCCAACAACTTCTCGTTGATTTTCTGTTGCATCGTTAAAAAATTAGGCTGGTTTTCGTTTCTCTTTGCATTTCCGGCTGAATGACTCTCCGCTTGTTTGTCTCCGGATTGTTTTAAATTTTCAACGGATTTCCCACTCGGAAATATTGACAATATTTGATTGTTCGCGATTTGAGGCATCTTCTTAACGTATTGCGAAACGTCCGAATTCACAATCTTAACGGTCGACGACTCCGACGTCGATTTCTGAGTCGTTGAATTCTGATTCATCAAATTGCAAGATTGATTTTTCTGTATTGAATTTTCCGGTGAAACGACAACGTTTTTCAAATCTTCCTCCGCGACGTTTCCCTCATTCGACACCGAATAATTTGAATCGGGATTTTCGGAATCCGATGATGCGGCTCCCGATCCTCTTCCGTGTTCCGAGGACGGCGATGATATGGGGTGAAAATTACGTGGCGGCGCCATATTGGGCCGTGACGGCCCTCTCGTTTGCCCCACCATGCTCTAAAATTCTGGCGGCCACATTTTCACATCTCGAAAGAGCTTAATGGTTCTTATTTTTGTATGTATTTATAACAGACAAAGTTTCACATTGAACCTGAAAGACAACAAAAAAAAAAAAAAAAAAAAATTCCAACAAATTATTAATTTTTTTAAACGGAGAGGAGGAAGAAGAAGGAGAGAGGAAGAAAAAAAAAAGGTCGATTCGATTGGCAATCGAACAATTTTTTTATTTAAAATGACACCTTTTGCACACAAATATTTATCTCCTGGTATTCGTTTATCGAATAATTAAAAATTTATTTTATTGTTTAACCGATACGAAAACTTGTAATGAATGAATAAGTTTTGTGAGTATGAAACGAAAATCATATATTGAACTATATATCAATTGAAAGAATTAACTAATCCGCAAAAAATTACGTTAATTCAAAGCATAAAACGTAAATATTAAAAAATAAAATAAAATTAATCATGGACGACGAAGAACTTGAATTCATAGAAGGCCGTCGTCAGTCAGTTTGTAAACGATTGTTTTTTTTTTTTTTTTTTTTTTTTATGTCGATTTTTTTAAAATTTTAAAATTTCGAACGAACGAAATGAACGAACGAACGAACGCTTTGCGTACGAATCGAAAGTGTCCATCGCGAACGTGTCGTAAATAAATTGCAATTAGTCAATAAAAATTTTTTTTTTTTTTTTTTTTTTTTTTTTGCGAAACGTGAAAAGAAAATTAAAAAAAAAAAAAAAAAAAAAAAAAGAGGGGGGCCTGGGGTGGGAGCGCGGATGCGAGGGCGGTAAATTTTAAAAATAAAAACTTCCACCAACTCTATTATCGTCGGATCGATGGTAAAACAATGAGAATACTAATTACCAACGTAAAATAATATTTACGTAATAATAACCGTAAATATGGATTGGATGGAAAAGCTAAGAAATGGTACAACCACATTCCAAGATTGGTTACGACAGTAGGTCGAATCCACACTGACAAAAATGTGCCAGCCAACAAACCGGATATCATACAGAGAAGCATAATGCGGGAAAATGGTGTAAGTTAATTGAAGTATTCGAAGAACCGAAGAGGAGAAAAACACCAGACAGCCAAAGAAGAGGGCAAAAGGCTGACATAGCCAGAGTGTGGGGAGTAAAAACAGAAACGTGGGAGCACTGGGAGCCATGCCACCACATTCAATAAAAGGCAATTTAAAGATTTTGAAGACTTTAAAAGAAGAAACCATCCAGGAAATCGCACCATGTCCGACGGCCTACATTCTTCGGAAAATTTTATAGGTAGCATCATTCGAGCATTTATCCCTAAGGAATCGTCGGGGAGAAATGACCTGGAATAAGTGATTAGAAACCCCGACAAATAAGAACCTTGTCGTGTTTAAAAATGAACAATAATAATAATAATAATAATGATAATAATCACCGGATATCACAATCAGAAAAAATTCATTTAAAATGTGATATAAAATTAATTGAAAACTCCAAGGGACGAATGGGGGGGAGGGAAAAAAAACAACACAATCGATCAAGCATTTCAATAAAAAAAAAATAATAATAATAATAATTGCTCCGGATAAGGATGAAATAAAAATAAATAAGATTTTCCGATACTTTGAGGAAAAACAAGGGGTACCAACCGTGTCTTATAAATTCTTTGGCGCCATCTTTGGTATCATTATAAAATTCTTCTTCCGACACGACATTTTTAAACATTTTAAAAATCGATAATCAATTCGTTCAATAATTCAAATTCAATTTGTATTTGGTTGGTAAAAGTTGCAACAAAAGAAAGAAAGAAAGTTGTTGTGGTTGTTGTTGTTCGGTTACAAATACTAAAAACAATAATTTTTTTTTTCGGATACGATATTTAAGGAAACGCTATTACGAAATCACAAATAATAATAATAATAATAATAACAACACCCTATTATAACAACCAATCGAATTCGATTCACGATATTTTAAAATCAACAACAACAACAATAATAATAATAATTTTTTGTTTGTTTATTGATTTTTAATATTTTCAAACGATAATTTCATTATTATGCATCTTAATTTGATATCATTTTATCGATCTCGGGTAACTCGATTACCATCTCCCATCATCATCACCCCCTCCCCCATCAATTTTGCGGTTCCCCTCGGTCCCCCTCCCCCGCGTTTTGTCTTCTCTTCCCGATGGTCGACGGCGGGGAGACTTTCGAAATTATTAACGTTAAACCCACAATTTGTCCCTCCTATTTCCCCCCTCCCCCTCGGTTATTCCCCTTAAGAAAATCATCTCTTTTCAAATCGATTTTTCATCCTTTTTTCGCAAAAAAAAAAAAGTACGTGAGAAAGCAAAACCTGAAAATCCTACTCGCGGATTTTCAAAATGGAAACGTTTCGATGACAACAACAAAATAATAATAATAATAATAATAAAGAAGTAAAAATTAATATATATGCGATTTGACCGTTTTTGGCAAACGTCAAAACGTCGAAATAATTTCTTTTTACAAGAGGGGCAGGCATTTCGAAAAGAGTGTGGCATGTACACACGCACACACATACGCGGTGTCATTTACCTCGAATTTATTATTACGCGATTGCGTTTATTCATTGCTTAGGCTTATATTTACGGATCATTTCATGACCGACACACACTCGCGATGCATTCGCGCTCATTTATACGCGTATATATATATAATTACATAAGAATTTAACACGCGCGCCATACTTTTCTCTCCACTTTTTAACCCTCCCTCCCTTCCCCACCCAAAAAAAAAATCATTGAAAGGTAAAACAGCAATAGAACTCTACCGTCGGGATAACAGAGAATAGATAAGGCGAAGGAGGAGCAGCAGCAGCAGCATCATCATCAGATGATTCGTCATCAGTGGAAAACTTTCATCGCGTCTGAACAATCATCATCATCATCATCATCATCTTTAAACCGAAAGTATAAGTAATGATTTTTTTTTTTTTTTTTTCGTAAGAAAACGAAACGAAGCTTTGTTGTTTTTTTTTTTTTTTTTTTTTTTTTATTTTTTGCGCAAAATCTCGTCTCCGTATATCGTACACCGCAGGACAAAACAAAATTTCATTAAATGCGATCTACCTCGAGGTTCGTAAAATTACCACCGCGAGCGCTACTATCAATGTAAACAACGCATTTTTCCCTCTCGGTCAAAAACAACCGACTCTTGCCGCCTGGCACGGCAAACCGACTAAATTTCTCTAAAATGATAATGATGATGATGTTGCACGCACACACACACCCATCGTGTCATACGCATTAAAATATATATATATAAACACACACACACACACACACGCATGTTTTCCCTTTTTAAATAAACACACGCGAAAAAAAATCCTTAATAATACGACGACTCGGTAATAGTACTAATAATAATAATAATAATAATAATGATAATAATAATAATACAAATGATTGAGTTCTTTCAACTCGTTCACCTTAAAATCAAGTATCTGCAAATGAATCGCACTCAAATTGTTAACAAAAAAAAAAAAAAAAAAAAAAATTTACTATGCTATACTAATGACCGACCGTCCGACGCATCCATCGAAAATTCTTTTGTTAAATCATTAATAGTAGCAGAAACGAATTTTTTATACGAAAAAAAAATAATAATGATAATGATAGATAATAATAATAATAATAATAATAATAATAATAATAATAATATTTTAAAGGTAATCTTTTTCTCTCTCTCTCTCTCACACACTCTTTTGTATTCTTTCGTCGTGCCATCGTTCTTAAATATTTTTGAAAAAAATGAACTAATTAATAAATAAATAAATAAATAAATAAATAATAATAATAATCATCATCATCATCGTCAAAGCCAAACGTTGCATATTTAATAATAATAATAATAATATTCAAAAGGATAACATAAAATCGGGGACTAAAAGGTAAACAAGGTGTGCCGTCCGAATGTTACCAATAATAAAGACGTCATAGATTTGTGTTGCGGCAGGTTAAGTCGTCGTCGTCGTCGTCGTTGTTGTTGTTGTGGTTGTTGTTGTTTTTTTATTAATATTTATATTCCGTTTGAGCTTTAAAACAACAACAACACGTTTCGAGTGAAAGGAGGAGAAGGAAAGCAAAAAGAAAAGAAAAAAAAAATTCTTTTCCCGTCGCGTTTGAAAATTTTACTTTTCTTTCTCTTTGCCCCTCCTTCCCCCTCTCTCTCTTTCAAAGAACAACCGCCCCCTCCCCACGAAAATCAAATTTATAATAAATAAATAAATAAATAACCGGAAGAATTTTATAAAAAAAAAAAAAACGTTCGTTTGTTTGTTTGTTTGTTTGCTCTTTTATTATAGGTCCAGAATTCACGTTTTTTTTTTTTTTAATAATTACATAACGGATGATAATAATCGTTTCACAATTTTTCAAACAACTTAAGAATTTAGTAACAATAATAATAATAATAACGGACGAATCGAGAATATAGGTAATAATTAATTTTTTTTTGTAAAATAGCAGAAGAAGGGCAAAAGTGCAACGACAACAACAACAACAACAACAACAAAAACGACAAAAATGGCAAAATTAAATTTCATTCACCTCGTCCATGTTAGTTAGTTAGTTAATAATACGCGAATAAAATTTTTTTTTTTTTTTTTTTAAAGAAAGAATAAATTCGATGGAATGCATAGAGAGAGAAAAAAAGACTATTACTCGACCTATGCACGCGCACGCACACGCACACACGCACACCACCAAAAGCAATAATTATTTTTTATTACAAATCAAAAAGTTTGAGAAAGTCTTCTCCAGGTTTGTACCTGGCGAATTCGCGAGCGTTAAATAAAAATAAAAAAAAATCATTTTTAAATTTTACGCTCGGCTCGTAACAAAAACCTCATCAGCCTCAGACAAACAGGCAGACAAACGCACAAACAAACAAACAAACAAATTTGCATTTCCCTTTAAATTTTTCATTTTGAAAAACGCATTTCCTTTTCAAATC